AATATAGAACCAGCACATAGGATCTTATTTGCTTTTCTCTCAGTTCTCTAATGGTTCGATTTTTGTATTGCCCGTTACTTACAAGGGTTTGTATTCTTTTTTTTAAATTTTATTTTAATAATTTTAATGAACACTTTCCATTCATTCATTGCTCTGCTGCCAAAGAACTTATAATTTAAAAGGGAATCCAGGATACGCACATGTGTGCGCGCACAGAGTTGTAGCTGTTGTTGTTAGGTTCCATCAAGGTGAATACAACTCATAGCGACCCTATGAACAAAAGATCTGAACCCTGTTCTGTCCGGCACCATCCTCACACTTCCTGACACACAAGAACTCATTGAAGCAGTCCCCGTATCAATCCACCTGGTTGAGGAACTTCCCCTCCTTCACCGACCCTCCACACTTCCCAACACAATGTCCCTCTCCAAGGAATAGCACCTCCTAGCAATATGTCCAAAGTATGTGAGGCGAAGCCTCATCATTCTGCGTCCAAAGATTGCTGCAGCTGCACCGTCTCCATGATATATATGTTCCTTCTTTTGGCCGTCCATGGGATGTTCAGTGCACTTCTCCAACAACACAGCTCAAAGGCATCAAGTCTTTTTCTGTCATCATTAATCATTGTCCAGGTCTTGGATGCATGGCTAGTAAGTGGAAAGACTATGGCCTGAATCAGACACACCTTAGTCCTTAAACTGACATCACTAGTAAATGTTGTAAGAGATTGCTAAAATACCAGAGGAATTCAGAAATAACATTTGATTCAGACACCCAATATTGAACAATATTCAGTTTGGCTTGTGTTTGTAAAAGGGAGTAATTGTAATGTGCCGTCGAGTCCAGACCAGCTCATAGCTGACCCTCTAGTGGATTTTCAGAGTCTGTAAAAGGCATGGGAAGATAATTCCTCAGAGCAGCTAGTGGATTTGAACCATCTGCCTTCAGGTTGGCAGCCACTCAAACCTATTCCAACTTACAGCAACCCTACAGAGTAGAACTATCTCATAGGATTTCCAAGGCTACAGTCTTTACAGAAGCAGATTGCCACGTCTTTCTCTGGAAGAGCATCTGGTAGGTTCTAACTGCTGACCTTCCAATTAGCTGGTCAGCATTCAACCACTGTGCCGCCAGGTCTCCTTTAGAATATAAAGCTGAGGCCAAATTACGTTCCTACTCTTTCAGTTACTAACTGTACTATCAGAGTTTCCTGCACTACAGAGTTCCTTGATCTCTCCAGACCCCAGTGTTCTCTGAATAGATGGAGATAATAATACCTGTGTTAGATAATACATGTTAACCCCTTCTTAAACTGGCAACACAGTAAGTGCTCGATGGATGTTTCCTATGTTATCTCAGGGAGTGGAGAATCCAGCTTTGAATACCAGGCTACAGTGTTGGGACTTGGGTATTTCAGAGAGCCATAAATAGTTAAAATTACTCACTCATTGCCATGGAATTAGAACTGAATCAAAGTTGACCCTCCCATGGGTTTTTAAGGCTATATGTCATACAGAAAGGGATTGCCCATTTTTCTCTAGCAGAGCCATTGGTAGATACTTGAATCACCAGAGAAATGTCACCTTTGGGTTTGCAGTAGCAGTACCTTTGTTGTTCTGTGCCATTGAGGGGAACCGACCCATAGCTGACTGTCAAGAGGGTTTTCAGAGGCAGGACATATCACAGGAAGACATTGCTCGTCCTTCTCCCTCAGAACAGCCGATGGATGGATTAGAATTGCGTCTTTTGGGGATAGAAGCACAGCTTACCACTAGGCCACCAGCGTTCCCTTAGCAATGCCTTAGAAAAATTAAGTTGGCAGTGGATTAGTTTAAAATGAGAGAAAAGGAGCTCCTGGGAAGCCATTCCAGTAGTCCAGTGGAATTAATGAGAGCTTGAGCTTGGGTATTGACAGTCACAAAATTACGTAAGACTGCTGCGAGGTTGGTGAGGTTCTCCCACAAGTAAAAAACATCAGAGAAGGAACAGGTTTGAGGATAATATGAAAAGCCAATTTTGTTCATACTGAGTCTGAGATACCAGTACAAACTCTTAAAGAAGAAATGTTTGACAAGCAGTGAGAAATGTGGTACCTGAGGTTAGTGCTTGAGAGAATGACTTGAGGGTTAAGAGGATATATGAAATTATCAGGGAAGATGATGGAGAGAGAGAACATAGCTAGTGATAGAACTTCACCTATTATTTATTATCAAGTCGCTTTCTACTCTCGGAGACATCATGTACAGAACTGAGCTCTGTAGGATTTCCTTAACTGGGATCTTTTCAGAAACAGGTTTCTGGGCCTGCCTTTCGCAGTAAACTGCCAACTTTCTGGTTAGTAGCTTTTGTTGTGGTGGTTAGGTGCCATTGAGTTGGAATCAACTCATAGCCTACCCTCTAGCAGGTTTTCAGAGGCTGTAAATTAATTGCAAGGGAGGAGATTGCCCAGATTTCTCTCACAGAGCTGTTAGTGGGTTTGAACTGCAAGCCTTTGGGTTGGCAGCACAACTCCAGATCTACTAGACCATCAGAGCTTCCTAGTGAAGTAGAAACCGTTTGCAAGAGGGAAACTGAAGAGAAGGCAGATAAGACGACTTTAATTGCCTTTCATAAAGCTTTTTGCTGCTGCTGAATTCTTTATATCTCAAACTGATTGTTTTACTGTCTTCCTAATTGCCCCAGTTGTATAGATCCTTCTGCGGTGCTCCTTACACATGTCTAAAGATAGATGGCTATTGTAATTATTCTCACATAGCCCCTAAATCCTGTTGCTTTCCCCCCTAAGGATAATATGGCATTATCTAGTAAGCATCTATTAAGACATGTTAGAGAGCGAGGAAGACCCTCAACAAGATCGATTGACCCAGTGACTTCAACAGTGGGCTCAAACATATTGGAGATCATGAGAAGGATGCAGGATAGGGCAATGTTCAGAACTGTTCAAATGGTCGTTATGAGTTGAGGTCGATTTGACAGCACCCAACGACATTAAGAGTGTAGAATCCAAACTCTGTCTAAATGTTCATTAAA